AACGATCTCCAAAAAGAAATTCAAAATAACTCGCGGTCAACTGATGAGAGATCATGTCATATAGGGTATTGTTACAGTTGATGCTTAAACAGCGAAGGATCTCCGTCGGATCCACATATTACGAGAGATAGGGACAAACTCATTTTCTCCGCAGCCGTTGCGTCGCAAACATTTCGCGACACCAAAGTCGAACTCAACTCAGTCTTATACAAAATTTACTCATCATCTTCATCTTCATCCTCCTCCTCGTCCTCCTCTTCATCTTCTTCATCATCGTCATCTACGGGTTCATTCCTGCCTTTGGGTTTGGGCGCACGGGAAGACTTGGCGGCGCCGTTCTTGAATTCCGCCATTTCCTATCAAGCAAAGGGAATAAGTTCATAAATTCATTAAAGCAGAGCACTATTGAGCGGCACTGCCGATCGATTATTCACTGCAGCTTTCGATTCATAATCGGATGATTGGTACTACTGATGATGCGCCGCAACAAAACTGACCTTCTCATATCGAACTTTGTCCTTCTCTGCCATCTTCTGGAAAGGAACCTTATCGCTGTCATTCAAGAGGGCCCATCTTCTTCCAAGTTCTTTGGCGACATCTCCCACGGTGGAGCCGGGGTTTTCTTTGCGGATTTTTGCGCGTTCTCCATCGCAGAACCAGAAAAAGGCGGACCTACAATAACGTATGAAAATCTGTAAAATGTGCCGACAGTTTCAGTGACGAAGTGCGATGAGATGCTCACAGGGCTCTCTTGGGCGCAGCTGGATCCTTCTTGCTACGCTTCCCGCGTACTTTCCCGCCGGCCGGTGGGATGTAATCTTTCATTTCATCATCGTAACGAGCCTTGTCTTTCTCGGCCATCTTGTGATACTTGGTTTTCTCTTTGTCAGAGATTTTCTAGATGAAATCCAAAATACGGTCAATGTTGAGGAGTTCCGCACACACGTCCACTCAACTAACCTTCCATTTCTCGGAACACTTCTTCGTGAACTCCGTGAAAGAGAGCGTTTCGTCAGGGTTAGCTTTTTTCTGTTCTTCCCGCGAGGATTGCAAGAAGTACGCGTATGCGGACATGCGCCCCTTGGGCTTGGATTCGTCCTTCGAAGGTCGCGGCATGGTGAATTGAGCGATAGAATTGAATGAACGCTCTGGAAAACGACAAAAACAGCGAGAACTTATTTGGATCCACGACGCACCTCACAAGAATCGTAAACTCCGGATAGCGGTGAATTTTAAATCATGTCTTCGAACACGTAATTATTACAACCACCATAAAATTCGACAGTTATCGGGAATAGCAAATTCCAGCGTGAAACACGAATTCCCGCATGAACCATGGGGTAATGGCGGCCCATAGCGTTGTGCAGAGAAAGCCGGTAGCGCGGGAATCCGCAGTCACCGTCCATTGGCCCTACGGAGGGTTACCAACGCGTTCACCGTAGAGTAAGGTGCGCCTTACAGCGACACCTACCCCATGCATGTGGGTTTCTTGTGTGTTCTAACGGATCCACGCAGTCCCTCCAGAACTCCGGAAGACTTGTCGGAAGGAGATGCAGGTTTGGGGGGGGGGTGGCTCAACTTTGCTTAGTAACGTACCCCTTACAGCGACATCTATACCAAGTATGTTCGACTCTTGTGCCATCCAACAGACCTACTTGCTCTTGCCGGAACTTCTTGATCTAGACACTTGTCAGGAGGAGAGGTGGACTTGGCAGGCATGAGGGGACTTCACCTCTCTCCAAGAACTCAAGCTGACTACCTCCTATACCTGTTACTGTGTGACCTATCTTATGTGTTAATGTTGTGGTGACAAGTAACAAGACATTTTATATCTGTGACAAGCATCTGTCAAGGACCTTATTATTTCTGGGAACAACCTTATATGGGGGCTCTGGTCTAAACCCTTTCTTCCTTGATTGTTGGTTGTTTACCTGTTAATGGTACAGGTGAACCTCAATGAGTATAAGGAACATACCTATTTACATTGGACCTGGCTTGTGAGTGCATAGCTACATATGTGAAGGTGACTGAAATATGAGTTCCAGCAATTGAAAAATATTCCTTTCCACAAACTACCATACTTGTATATATACTGTATACATTTGCAAGTCAATTTGAATATAAATCATGGCATGGAATGGTTCTCATGACAAATGTGTATACTATTTTGTACACATGCACCATGCAATTCTTGTTGCATGGTTGTACGTTGTATATATACAGCCAGTTCATGCAAAATTTTTTGAAATTCAATTCAAAAGAGGTCTAATCACTTGTCACTTGTGCATCCAAAACATCCAAATTCCCTGCAAAACGCATTCATATTTCCTCCAAAACACATCCAAATTCCCTCCAAAATTATACCCAATTCCCTCCAAATTGAATTCGAAGTCCCTCCACAATGCATCCAAATTCCTTCCTAAAGTATATTCCCAATTCCTTCCAAATTGAATCCAAAGTCCCTTCAAAACTCCTCCAAAAACCAAAATGGATCCAAATCTGATCCAAAACTTCTCCAAAATTTGCAGTCTGCAGCATACAGTATGTCCAACTTTGGCAACAACTGTTGGATGGCTTTTGGAGGAGTTCTGGATCAGGATTGGACACATTTTGGAGGAGAGTTTGATATATACAGTATTTGGACAACTTCTTTCTCACTGGGTGCCAGCTGCTGTAAGTGATATCCCAGACCATGTCATTGAATGTGAGGGCTCTGGCTGCAAATACTTGTGCTGTTTTGGCTATGTTGTTGTGGATCAGGCAGCATATCCTTTCATTTATTTCTCTCATGTTGTCAATGGTCAGTAACTCATGCAGACAGCAAAGAGCTTAGTCTTTAAAGACTTCATTGCCTCTATAGCAGTTTGGGAAGATTGGGCACCTTGTGGTTGTGATGGGCACACCTGCTGTAACATATGTTATCAGGATCCTTTTTTCTTCAGGATTTTGATGTACCGCAATCTAAATCCTGTTCAGCTGCGCATCATATACAGTACAGCAGTCAACATTCTACAATATTGACCATATATACTTGCTCCATTAATTCAGGTTATGTCATAATAAATTATTCCACAGAATTATATGGACTGCAAACACTTAATTCTCAGGGAAAAGTGACGCACGGAAATCCATTCATTTGAGATTGACGAGACGCTCACTGAGAAAATCCCATTCAAGTATAGAGTATATATACTGAAAAAATCGTAGCCCACTATAATGATAAATTTCAACTTTCAAAGCATTTCAAGTTCAACATACAAATAATAGACTGCTGTAATTCAAAACATTTTTTACCACAATATTGCAGGCGCTTTTCATGCAGTTAATTCCCAAGAGTATTGGCAAACTGGTTCTTCTGTGAAGTTGCATTCTTCATAGGGTTCCTTTTTGTAGAAATCAATTCATTATTGAAAGAACAATTTCCACCAAAATTATTCAAAAAATGGAATAACTTGATGGTAATTTACACCCATTAATATAATAAATCGAGTGAGCTACTGCTATATATACTGTACAGTAGTGTTCAGGTTATTATGGTAAAAGGTTATGATGCTATAGCTGATCATAACTTTGTTGTGATGTTTGGTCAAGTTATTGATACGTTGGACATTGTATATATAGTAAATGAAAAATCACACAATTTACTATACAGTATATAATTATCCACACAATAATATCTTGCCAAAGATAATTTTGGTCCATTAATATCAATTTGTACATGGCTAAGTTAATTTTTGACTTATGTTCTGCAATTTTGATAATTGGCAGGGTATGAACATTTAAAATACTTGATGTTCAATTGAATCCAATATAACCCCCTCTATTTTGTCTTTGTCTGGGTTATGCATCAGACTTCCTTCCATGCAGTTGCTGGTGTACAGTCCGGCAATGCAGGGTTCCACGATAATTTTCAACCAGCAAAAAGACTGATGGAGTGCATCCGATTCTTTTTTGTCAAATAAAAAAATTCAAAGCGCATTCAATGGTTGATTCAGGTTATGTGGAGAGGGTGCAATCTCTTCACTTCAAATGAATCCAAAAACCTCTCAATAGACATAAAATTACTTTCTTTTCTTTCATTTATCTTGCGTGTCAAGTATAACAGAACAGTACTGTAATAGTTGAAGGCTCAAAAAACTCAAATTATGAAAGTTTCAGCAGAAAAGCCTTTTAAGATAGGCAGGTTTTTAATTTAAGCGAATTCAGACAGGGACTTGAAAATATTCTAACTAGGGAGGTTTGACTTCATTATCCAGATGATGGACCCCTGATGAGATGTGGACATAATTGGTGCTGGGACCTTATCCATACATCTTATCCACATTCAGATGTCAGATCAACCCTCAGACTTCACTGGGATGCTGAACATGTCTGGTCAGCTGAAAAAAGGGAAGTTTTTGTTCCTTCGTCTTCTCAAAAATAGTCAATACAAAAAAATCAATTTCTTGGTTAGCCTGACAACTTTTAGTGAGCTTCAACATGTGTGGAAAACTCTGGATGTGACCAGAACATTTTTCCAAAGAAAAATGTTCATAAAATAAAATCCTGGAAACTTAATTAGAACATCATGGACAATGTCAAGATATTTTAAAATTACACATACTGTACTCTAGAAATATCAAAGGCCGCGTCAAAGTGGGACAAAACTCGTATGATGAATGAATAAATCAGTATAAGAACACATTCGTTTACTTCCCGTCCACAAAGAAAAAAAATCACATCGAAACGTCTAAATTATCGATCAATATGATCCAAAGGGTTCAGCAGAAATATATCCATTCACATCGAAAAATGAAATCATCGTCAAATATCCTCTTACCACGCAGTTCTCGTCAACAGCACCACAAAAGAAAATATCGCATCCCCCAAAAAGAAGGGATAACGCTTTTTGCACTCCTTAATATCAATCAAAAATGGAAGGCTGACAAACGAAAAAAGAAATTCTCCCCAATTTTCCCGCCTCCGGATATTTTAGGGGTACCTGGGGTGACTTCAACCCACCAACCCGTAAGACAGCGTATCACAAACCAAGCATCTGGTTGCAAGAGCTTGCAGGATTATCAACAGCGTATTCTCACATCCACCACACACTGCAATATATTTGGATTATTTGCGATCATCCGCAATTCATCTCTGAGCAATATAATTTGCAATCGCTACTTCACGTAAGTTCATCGACGAGCCAAAGAAATAGGAATGACAGCTTTCACTTCAGTCAACATAAAATTGATCAGCCCGGCCTTTTTTGTAAAAACAATTTCTTGAAGCCGCCACCATCCTTTATAACCTAAATTAACACAAAAAAGGGTCTAACACCTTAAAATCCTAGTTCAAGATTCAACTAAGTTGAACTTACAGTCAATTCCTAACGAAGATGGAAAATTATTATACAGTATAATATAACGACAAGTTTGCATCATAAATGTAGCATCAAAAATATATCGCACTTTCAAAGGAAGAGTAATTTCAACACATGCCCGCCATCTCGAAGAATCAGTTTTTGTCATTGGTGGGTCACAACTTTAAATTTTTCTAAAAAGCTAGCTTGCTGATTTGACACCGTTATAAAAGTCCTGTTCCATAAGTACCGAGCTTATTCAATTGTTGCTCTCGAACAAAAAAAAAAAAACGAAGAACGGCTTTTTTAAACGCGAAAAAATCGGCTGAATTCGAATCTGCCCAATACTTAATCCCATATTTTGCACCGCTAAGACTAGAAAAGGCCATATTTGTTTCTTCTCGGAATCACCTCTGCATTCCAGCACACCTTAACAGAAAAAAATAAGAGGAACTTACGTGAGTTCCACTATCCAACACACTCACATCAGAACAAAAACAAACTGCACCAAGAATCGTGGCGTAAACAAGAAACCAATTCGCGACTGCATAATTTACGACTGATGTCGCATCAAGTCGAAAATTTCTATCAACAACGGCTCCACTTCTTTCGGATTCGTATCCAGATACACACGAACGTGGTTCTCATTGAGATAGTGCAGCTCTTGAACTCTGTGGATCAACTGTAGGTATTGTGATTTGGCCTCACATCCCGGCAAAATCGACTCCAAGTATCTTTTCAAAAGGTAGTAATACGAATCCTGAAAAAGACCGAACGACTTCTTAATGCCAGGCTCTGAAATGTGGACATAGAACATTTCCGAAACACGCACTAGCGTATTTACTGGAATATCGCAAGTAAGAGACGTACCTTGAATTTTAAGCCAACATTTTGGGAAAATCTTCGAAGACTCGCACCTTATTCTCAGTTACCAAAATTCCTATTTCAGAAAATGTGTGGGATGAAAATAGAAATTGAAGCCATTTTCGAAAATCGAATTTAACGGCGATTTCTATCACACATACACAGTCGAACCTCGATAAGCCGCCATCATTTGCTCGTGGCGGTTTCACGGGGTAAGCGGTTTATCAAAAAAGCTGAAATAAGATGAAAATTAAGTTATTATAGGAAAAAAAAAATCGTTTTCTTCTAGAAAACCATCGAAATAACCCTGGGATGCGTAAATTTATCTAGCTACTATTCCCAAGAAGTAAATTGTGTCCTCTTTGTACTGTACTTCTTTTCATTCCAATTGGATACTTCTCACAAAAACTTGAATGTTGTTGGCGGGCTATGAAAGATGACATTTATTGGCAGGAGCATATTTGCGTTGCCAATAATTTTTGCAAATGGCGTTTTAACGAGGTTTCCAATGCTTTCATCGGTAGGGACGATTCAGTTTTTCAAAAGAAATTTGTTGATGCCCAGGGTTGCGTCTTATCAAGGGCAGGGCCGGCCCAGGGGTGGGAGGCGCCTTTGTGCAAGAACACATTTTGGCACCCGTTGAAAATAAAAAATGAAAATGCTAGCAGGCATCATAATATAAAATAATCAATGATTTTTCAATATTCTAGTACTAGAACACCCTGTACCATGCATATATGAGGAAGGGAAATAATGATTACAGTAAAATCTTGTTACAACAAACTTGTGGAGACTTCAGAAAAAAGTTTGTTAGAACAAATAATATGTAATGACAAGAATTTGAAAATTGTTGACTGATTGGAAGATTTTCTTAAAATAGACCTGCACATATTCTACATCTTCCTTTTTGGCCTTTTCAGATGCTTTTCAGGGTTTGAAAAACTGTGATCTTCAAAAAAATTAATTCCTTAATAAAATACATTTACTCTGAATGAAATGTGAACACTTGCACTTTTTCTCGACAAAGTTTTTCAAAGCAATTCCTCAAAAGAGCTGTAAGGGTTGATGTTCAAAAAAAATTAATTCACTAGGGTTTCTCAGGCATACAAACCCTTTTCAACATGAGTTTTGTTGAGTTTATTATTCATCAAACTCACTAACTGCACCATCATTCCTAACCTGTAGGAACTATATTCGAAATAGAGAATTTCAAAGTTAATTTTGAAGAATTTTTGTCCTTGATTCCATCTTATGTCCCAAGATCTAGTTACATTCACATTTTGAATGGAAAATGTGAGACTGTGCCTGCCTTCATTTGGGGATTTTTCATTGAGGAATCCTAACATGCTCCTCAAAAATGTTTTTTTTTTCACTGGAATCAGCAAGTTTGTTGTAATAAGATTTTTATAACATGTATCCTATTGGATTTCTGTCAGGACTTGAAAAATTTTTATAATACAAATTTTGTTGTAAGAGCACTTATTTCAATGAGATTTAACTGTACACTGTACAGAGATTAAACAGGCAAAAATGAGTTTCTTAAAACAATATTTCATCATTGTACATAGCTCATAAATAAAAAACTACTGGAACCCAGAAAACTTACTGTAATGAAAAAACATAATATAAAAATGTCTGTAACATAATTTTTCTGTACAGTATTTTGCATTCAATAAATGTTGGGAAACTCAAAGTTTGTCATTAAAAAATCTGAAATGTACAATAACTTTAGTTTGATTTTGCTATTTCACCATCATACCTTTTCAGTCAACATAAACTGATCGTTTTGTTTTCAATTTGAAGTCTGAGTTCTCTTCTATACTAAGATTGATTATTCTGAGAACCATTTCACTTTCTCCAAAAGAGGATTTTTGGTTTCAAGTTGGGTTCAAAAGAGCTTGAATTTATTTTGTTCAGTGTCATAGTCACCCAGAATAATTTTTGTATGGTTGCTTTACTTTTGGTAATGAAATAATGAGCACAAGTTAGTATTTAGTGAACTCAAGCTGTGTAATCATGTTGGACAGTCAAGAACGGTAACATTTTTGAAATAATGAAGTCATTCTTGAGACAAGTAAAAATACCTTTGTTGTAACTAAAAATTGTCATAAAGCAAATCATATCAGATTGTGGCTACTGGGCAGGGGATCTGAAAAACAACTTTCATTGTTATAGGAAATTATTTTGAAACAAGATTTGTTGTGACAAAATTCTACCATTTGAGAAAATGGCCATGTTTATATTTTCAGTCAAAATATGCATGAGATTTTCTGACTCTTGTTCAAAACAAAACAACTTGAACTTCTTCTGATATCACAAGTAACGTAACATATAATTTTGCAGATAATTGCAGAACTTGCTTTATTTCATGTTTATTTCTACATCTCTCACTCATCAACTTATTGACACTGATGGTGAATGAAATCAGGAAGAAGAAAATAATTTACAAGTATTCCGAGTGAGAGTGGACCATAACTTTTTCACCAGGGGATCATCAGATTATTTTTATAATTTTTATATGACTGTAAAAAATCCTAAAATGATAACCATGCAGTTTGAGTGAAAATGTATTGCATTTGCAATAATTATCTCAAGCCAGTGAGAATTATGGTCTGACCAAGTTTTAGCCACCAAGTCATTCCTAGCATGGAAACACTTGATCATTTCACATCAAAAAAATTTAAACGCAATTTATAAGAATGCCAATGAAACTTTGGAATCATGAAATTTGACATAATCCAAACAGAATTAGTACCTTGAAGTTGGTACAATATGTCCTTCAATAATGTGTGCACCAAGATTTTTTGGAGAAAATTAGTTGAAAAAATGTATCCTGGAGAAAGATACTCCTCAAGATTTAACTTTGTACCTTTTAAAATAATACCCATTCCAATTATCAGCAAGGGCATTCAAACTTTAAAATTGGGAATTATTACAGTATATACCTATCAAGTTGAATTTTAGCTGATGAAAATTCAAACTTCAAATTATTATTCAATGGAGTGTGATGAGAATTTTTATTTTGCAGAGGGGAAAAGGTATCTAGCATTAATCAAATGATTGTTGTGAATCCAAATCCCCATTGAGCTAATATCAGCAATACAGAATTCATGTACTGTACAGTATCAGCAGTTGTCAAAATTAATCTACTGTGAAACTTGACAAAATATTAACATTTCAGTTAATTTTTAGCTACTCATGTACAGAGTTTTATCCATACTGGATGAAAATTACTTGATAAGATATCATTATAATTGACTGTAATATGTGATTAATTCACTCATGCATTCCAAATCTTGATCTATTAATTGAATCATGTCTAAAATGTTCTGGACATGTTTTTCATGCATATTTTACCAAAGTTTAAACCCAATTAAAATGAGCCTTACATTTTCCTACTAATTTGTTCCTGAAAAAGTGGCGTGCATGATAATCAAATAAATGTTCTATTGCAGTCTGGGGTTCACTCTACTAGGTGCTGGAGCATTTTAATAAAGCTTTTGTTTAAAAAGGAAATGCTTCTTCTGCTGCTTTGCCTGCTTTTTTTCAATTCAAACATTTGAAAAAAATAGAGCCAAATTTTGCTTTGCACAATGGGCGAATGGTAGGCTGAAGTATAGGCCTGCTGTTTTTTGTAATAAAAAAATGTCACCAAGCTATAGGGGGCGCCAAAACAATAATTACGTCCTATAACATTTGGATCTTCTATTTTTTGGTTGGCACCCAACTGTGGGCAACACAGGCACATGTTTTTTTGCATCAAAATGGGCGCCAGCCACTAAGTAGTAGGTGCAAATTCTGTGTGGCGCAAATCCCATTTTGGCGCCCCCTTACGGTGGCCTTTGAGCGGTGAAAAACCTGCACACCGCGTCGGGCCGGCCCTGATCAAGGGTTGACTGTAGTAGAGTATCATTTTTCATCGCGCCGCCACAACAGAAATGACGATCAAACCAATATCTAACGTGATACTTGAATCAGAACTAACCCTGATCGGATTTTTCTGAACTAACCTAGCCCATTATAACGTCAGGATCACGAAGAACCGAATCTAAAACTGTACCGTACATCAAACTAAACGAAGTAACTTAATCTCTGCATACAATACCTCAGACTGAGGTCGACGGATGCGTTACTTGAACGAAAGGCTTATCACATCTGACTCACATTCATAAAGGGCGAATTCCAATTTCGTACCTATGATATTCCGAAACGTTCGCTGGGTTAAATATGAAGAATAACTTACCTGTTCTAATTTGACAACGTCTTTGTGGATGACATTTGGTCTTTCAGGAGAAAACAACGTAACAGCTCCGAGGATCAACATTATGTTCTCATCGTTTCGCCACAAAGGTGTGAAAGATTTGATGAAACGTTGGTGCTCCTCGTAAAGGTTTCCTCCGGCTTTTTTCAGAACATCTAGCTTAACGATACTCGGCGTGCTGGTATGAGGGATCTGAAAAATTATCACGGGACTAACATGAGAGAGGCAAGGGGAAACGAACATTTCATCAGGTCGTCTAACCTTCCAAGAGTTGACCTCGGGATCGTACGTCATCACAGACCGCAAAATCATGAGTTCCGTGCAGCCGCCTTTCAAGAGTGCTATTTGGTCTTCCTGGCATAAATTTTTGAACCCATTCACCCGTTTCATCATTTTAATGATCCGCCTGATCGCCAAGTCCGTCATGTTTATAACGCTGATTAAGCTGGGATCCTTGAAGCAGTGCTGCAATACAGAGGTACTCATTGAAGGAAATTTGCTTAAATTTTTCAACGAATCGAATACCGTAGTCATACAGAAAGGTTCAGTTATTCAATTCAATAAAGCAGACCAGAACACAGTATCATGCAATAAATTGAAATTCATGCAAGAGAAACATTTTAAAAATTGCTTAACGCGTCTACCGTATTCAAAAACGGAACTGACATCCCATACTTCCCGAGAAGGTTCAAGAAAAACTGCGAGTTATACGAAAAATTTTTGAATACTGGAAGAAATAACCACATTTTGTACAGTATTTTCGAAAACTGCAGAAAAGTATGAAAAAATTATACCACTACACAGTACAAACCTCGGTGATAAGTACAAACAACCTCGGGAAGATTAAAAACCCCACTGAAGTATCACTAAAGAATGGCAACCTCAGGGAATAGTTGGAAAGTAGTTTAAAACCCGTGAAGTTTGGACAAGCGACGTACGAACCCTTTAACCTTTTAAGAAACTAAACGAAAACCTTCATCCCTATGTACTGTACAGTAAATTTCAGACAAATAACTGTAATTCAATACCATCAAAGTATAGATAAGGCGAATCATAATTAAATCAATCTTGTTCTCACCACTCACAAAATCACAAGTGAAACGATTAACCCTTCAAAAGATACGACACATTAAACCCTTGAAGAAAAAAGACGCACAAAATCGCGAAAAATTACCTTATGAGAGGCATCAACGTCGATCGGACTCAACATGGCTTCATTTGCAGCGACTAGTTCATAAATTTTCGCTCGTTCAACATCATTCAATTCCTTCTGATTGTGGTTGAACCCGATCAATGAAGCAGCACTGAACTCGGCCCTAATTGCGACGCTCAACACGCTGTTGACCGTCTCCAACCTTTATCAAACCAAATTAATACGAAGAATGTTCCATTTTTAGTTTAAAAAAAATAAAGATAAATAAAGTACAGATGCGTACGGGTCAAGAATTGATCGACATCTTCGTTGATCCAGTCCAACGTGAAGTGTGCATTCGCTGGATTGATGATGCACGGGTTTCTTTTCAATTTTGACCTCCTTTTCACATTCCAACAACTTATCTTCACAAGGGTTCGCCATGATCTGATGAGGCTTTCTCTGTTGCTGACCGCGTAGTGAATCTGTCGAAAAGTTGGTCGAATTGAAAATTTCTATGTCAAAGTTAATCTCCCGCAAGATGAATTCGCCCAAGGGTACAAAGAATAGGAAAACGCCGTGCCTCTTAAAAAAAATCGGAAAATCAACAGACACGCTCAACTTTTTCATCTGAGGAGCAAATCTAAAAATTTCTGTGAGCCAATCAGAAGTTGCCGCAGTTACATTTGAAAAACCCACCCACGATGAAACAAGAGTTCAGCGCAAGGATTTAAATGGAGAAAACAAAAAACAACGTCACAGAGCTGTGCAAAAAATGAAATCTCAAGCTTTACTTGTACGAAAAAAAAAAAAAGAACTCACAGTAACTTGATCCCGATTCTTGTTGCGAATTCATCTGAGTTGATCCCCCACAGGTACTGTCCTCCGTTTGCGGTGATAACAAAGAAGACATCAGTAAACTCTCGTTATTCATGGCGTTGTTGCCAATGCTGCTGCTGCTGGTGCTACCACCAGCACCACCACTGTTGATTACGGGTTCAACAGATGCCATCTGTTGCAGCTGCTCGTCACGAGAATACATTTCATTTCGGATACCATTTGGACTAGCTTCCGAGGATGGGTATCGTCTCCGTTCCATCCAAAGGTCGGTTGAAAAACTTTCGGGGGATTGATAAATAATATTCTCCGCAGTGTGTTCAGCAGATTCGTCCGCGTGTCGGGCTATTTTTGCTGGTGCAGGCGATAATTGAGAGTCGGATCTACGGGCAGAAATGGCTAAATGCTGTACACTGATAAAAAAAAAATATATATATATACATTTTTTTTTTTTAGAAATAATCCATTCAAATACAGTACTGCATATCCGTTTCTGCATTTCAGAACTTTCGCATGACATTTCCAAGACGGATTCTAAAAAAAATGCTTTCAAAATGTATAAACAGCAATCTCCGGTCAGAATGGGAAACAACGAAGAAATTGTAACTTCATAAAAAAGGCAGCATTGACACCATATCCAGTAAGTTTATGCGAACATTTTCGAAATTTGAACAAGTTTTAATTTATCGTCAAGGGAAATCGAAACTATTTTGAAGGGGGCTAAACATTTCGGAAAAATCCAAGCAACAGTCTTGCGGATTGTTCAAAATTACAGCGATAGCCGATAACTTGAACAAATTTTCGAAATGGTCGAAAAAAAAAGGCAACCAATCGTTGTTTTTCTTGGTACAGTATACAGACTCTAGACCTATTCGACCTACTTACCTTCGTACCACGTACGTGAACAAGTAAGACGCAATTAAGAAGGGTCACAAACGATTCACATTTTTATTAACGTTTGGAATCTTACCCAGAGGCAACGACCCCATTGTCAAGCAGCCGACGAACGCGGTTGGCTTCGATCTTCTGTTTCTTCTTCACCTTTTCTTCATCCGACATAATGATCAATATGATCCAAAGGGTTCAGCAGAAATATATCCATTCACATCGAAAAATGAAATCATCGTCAAATATCCTCTTACCACGCAGTTCTCGTCAACAGCACCACAAAAGAAAATATCGCATCCCCAAAAAAAAGGAATAACGCTTTTTGCACTCCATAATATCAATCAAAAATGGAAGGCTGACAAACGAAAAAAGAAATTCTCCCCAATTTTCCCCGCCTCCGGATATTTTAGGGGTACCTGGGGTGACTTCAACCCACCAACCCGTAAGACAGCATATCACAAACCAAGCATCTGGTTGCAAGAACTTGCAGGATTATCAACAGCGTATTCTCACATTCAGCACACACTGCAATATATTTGGATTATTTGCGATCATCCGCAATTCATCTCTGAGGAATATAATTTGCAATCGCTACTTCACTTAAGTTCATCGATGAGCCAAAGAAATAGGAATGACAGCTTTCACGTCAGTCGACATAAAATTGATCAGCCCGGCCGTTTTTTGTAAAAACAATTTCTTGAAGCCGCCACCATCCTTTATAACCTAAATTAACGCAAAAAAGGTCTAACATCTTAACATCGTAGTTCAAGATTCAACTAATTTGACCTTACAGTCAATTCCTAACGAAGATGGAAATTTATTATATAATATAACGACAATTTTGAATCATGAATTTAGCATCAAAAATATCTCGCACTTTCAAAGGAAGAGTAATTTCAACACATGCCCGCCATCTCGAAGAATCAGTTTTTGTCATAGGTGGGGTCACATCTTTAAATGTTTCTAAAAAGCTTGCTTGCTGATTTGACACCGTTATAAAAGTCCTGTTTTAGAAGTACCGAGCTTATTCGATTGTTGCTCTCGAAAAAAACGAAGAACGGCTCTTTTAAACGCAAACATCGGCTGAATTCAAATCGGTCCAATATTCAATCCCATATTTTGCACCGCTAAGACTAGAAAAGACCATATTTGTTTCTTCTCGGAATCACCTCTGCATTCCAGCACACCTTAACAGAAAAAAATAAGAGGAACTTACGTGAGTTCCACTATCCAACACACTCACATCAAAACAAAAACAAACTGCACCAATCGTGGCGTAAACAAGAAACCAATTCGCGACTGCATAATTTACGACTGATGTCGCATCAAGTCGAAAATTTCTATCAACAACGGCTCCACTTCTTTCGGATTCGTATCCAGATACACACGAACGTGGTTCTCATTGAGATAGTGCAGCTCTTGAACTCTGTGGATCAACTGTAGGTATTGTGATTTGGCCTCACATCCCGGCAAAATCGACTCCAAGTATCTTTTCAAAAGGTAGTAATACGAATCCTGAAAAAGACCGAACGACTTCTTAATGCCAGGCTCTGAAATGTGGACATTTGTAGGTATTGTGATTTGGCCTCACATCCCGGCAAAATCGACTCCAAGTATCTTTTCAAAAGGTAGTAATACGAATCCTGAAAAAGACCGAACGACTTCTCAATGCCAGGCTCTGAAATGTGGACATAGAACATTTCCGACACACGTACTAGCGTATTTACTGGAATATCGCAAGTAAGAGACGTACCTTGAATTTTAAGCCAACATTTTGGGAAAATCTTCCAAGACTCGCACCTTATTCTATTCTCAGTTACCAAAATTCCTATTTCAGAAAATGTGTGGGATGAAAATAGAAATTGAAGCCATTTTCGAAAATCGAATTTAACGGCGATTTCTATCACATATACACAGTCGAACCTCGATAAGCCGCCATCATTTTCTCGTGGCGGTTTCACCGGGTAAGCGGTTTATCAAAAAAGCTGAAATTAGATGAAAGTCAAGTTATTATAGGAAAAAAATTCGTATTCTTCTAGAAAACCATCGAAATAACCCTGGGATGCGTAAATTATATCTAGCTACTGTTCCCAAGAAGTAAATGGTGACCTCTTTGTAGTCGTTTTCATTCCAATTGGATACATCTCACAAAAACTTGGATGTTTTTGGCGGGCTATGAAAGATGACATTTATTGGCAGGAGCATATTTGCGTGGCAAATAATTTTGGCGAATGGCGTTTTAACGAGGTTTCCAATGCTTCCATCGGTAGGGACGATTCAGCTTTTTGAAAGAAATTTGTTGCCCGGGGTTGCGGCCTATCAAGGTTCACGGGTTGACTGTAGTACAGTAACATTTTTCATCGCGCCGCCACAACAGAAATCACGATCAAACGAATATCTAACGTGATACTCGAATCAGAACTAACCCTGATCGGATTTTTCTAAACTAACATAGTCCATTATAACGTCAGAATCACGAAGAACCGAATCTAAAACTGTACCGTACATCAAACTAACCGAGCTAACTTAATCTCTGCAAAAAATGAAATCTCATGCTTTACTTGTACGAAAAAAAGATTAAAAAACAAAAGAACTCACAGTAACTTGATCCCGATTCTTGTTGCGAATTCATCTGAGTTGATCTACCACAGGTACCGTCCTCCGTTTGCGGTGATAACAAAGAAGACATCAGTAAACTCTCGTTATTCATGGCGTTGTTGTCAATGCTACTGCTGGTGCTACCACCACTGTTGATTACGGGATCAACAGATGCCCTCTGTTGCAGCTGCTCGTCACGAGAATATATTTCATTTCGGATACCATTTTGACAGGCTTCCGAGGATGGGTATCGTCTCCGTTCCGTCCAAAGGTCGGTTGAACTTTCAGGTGATTGACAAATTATATTCTTCGCGATAATTGAGAGTCGGATCTGCGGGCAGAAATGGCTAAATGCTGTACACTGATAACACACTTTTTTTTTCAAGAGATAATCCATTCAAATACAGTACTGCATATCCGTTTCTGCATTTCAGAGCTTTCGCTTGACATTTCCAAGACGGATTCTAAAAAATTGCTTTCAAAATGTATAAACAGCACTCTCCGGTCAGAATGGGAAACAACGAAGAAATTGTAACTTCATAAAAAAGGCAGCATTGACACCACATCCAGTAAGTCTATGCGAACATTTTCGAAATTTTGAACAAGTTTTAATTTATCGCCAAGGGAAATCGAAACTATTTTGAAGGGGGCTAAACATTTCGGAAAAATCCAAGCTACAGCCTTCCGGATTGTTCAAAATTACAGCGATAGCCGATAACTTAACCAAATTTTCGAAATGGTTGAAAAAAAGGCAACCAATCTTTGTTTTTCTTGATATACAGACTCCAGACCTGTTCGACTTACTTACCTTCGTACCACGTACGTGAACAAGTAAGACGCAATTAAGAAGGGTCACAACGATTCACATTTTTATTAACGTTTGGAATCTTACCCAGAGGCAACGACCCCATTGTCAAGCAGCCGACGAACGCGGTTGGCTTCGATCTTCTGTTTCTTCTTCACCTTTTCTTCATCCGACATAATCCATTCTTTTTTCATGCCGACGTCGAAGCACTTCCGTAAACGACATCGTTGACAGAATCTTCTCGTCACGGCATCCACTTTTACAGTTGTCCTCGAAAGGACAGCGGAACTCCTACAAAGCAGTCAGACTTCGAATTAGATCCGTTGTTATTCTTTTTGAAATCACTGATGCTTCATAATTTTATAGAATCACAGAGCGACAAAAATATTTTTTTCAACGGGAACGGTTTGGGTGAAGATGAATCAAATTATGCACATGACACAAAAAATCTTCAAAAACATTCAGCCTTATGTCGGCCTTGTGTATAGATATATCTTTCGGAGACATTTCCAACAATTGCTGTAGGCGTGACTGCGATAGAGATTGTCTCTCCAAAATTATTCCCACCAGAGCGAAACATTCTGAATACCCAGATTATCTGTGAACAATAGATGTAAATAATTTACAAATAATTTTGAGATAATTTTCGGGACAGAAATGATCGAAATGCTTTTGTTCCGAATCGTCCTAGATTCGGAAATTATGTGTCACTCGGAACGCGGAGAAAAATAGCGTTATCACAACGACGAAACGCAATTTTCACCTTGGTTTTGAGAGCATTCCTCCGGAAGAAGGCTTTGCACGACTCGCACGTGATGGCATTGAAATTGTATCCCAAGGCTTTGTCACCACACACCAAACAAAATTTTGAATCTCCTTTTTTCAGCGGCTGCGTGCCGTGCATCACCTCCTGTTCATCCTGTAGTTTCATGTCGTTTTTGTCGAACGCAGACTCTAACATAAGTCAATCCAATCGGAAAAAGCTTCATTTTACCAATAAAACGGAACATCGACACATGTTTGTCGAAATATTCGCCAGAAGCATGCGTCAAGTCGGGCCAAGCCCGAGGACTTCACAACGCCCAGTCATCGTCATCTGGAAATTAAATCATCATTGAATCGACTGATCAAAATAGGATTCCTATTGAACATACCTTCCATCGCTCAGAGCATTTCTTTGCGAATTCCGTGAAAACAACAGTCGCGGGTTTTCCTTCTTTTGCCCATTGCGACACGCTTGCAGGAAGAAGGCATAGGCTGTCATGCGGTCTTTCGGCTTGTCATCCTTGGCAACTCGCGGCATTTTTCACTTTTCGAATCCACGTAAAAAAATAATGAAAATTTACAGAAGTATTCAGTGTAACGGTCCGATATCACACAAGTGAAGTAGTCTGCAAATTAAGACGAACTAGAGTCAAAGAAAAACAGATGACGAGGGTAACAGGTAATCGTCGGATGGGCGTACGAAGACACCAGTTTCATTACAAAACCGATCAAAATTGAAGAAATCGGTCGCGATAAATTTCGAAGAACTCTGAAAGATTCGCTTCAAACGAAAACAGCAGCCTCTCGCATTCCACATAAATGTATANTAGATATAACACAAATTGATATACACTGGTACAAAATATGAACACTTGTCAATTCAAATAGATGAGTATAGTATAGATTTAATATACACTTGAAGAATATAAACACTTGTCAAATTACACTTGAAGAATATACACACTTTGTCAATTCAGATAGATAAATATAGTACAGTTTTTAATATACACTTGTAGAATATGAACACTTGTCAAGATACACTTTGAAGAATATAAACACTTGTCGATTCTGATAGATGAGTACCGTACAGTTTTTGATATACACTAGTAGAATGTAAACCTTTTCAAGTCAGAAAGGAGATGCACTAAAAGACTTTGATGCAGTTTTAACTGCACTTTAGGTGTTTGAAAGAATTTGAGGTTTTCACTTATAGAGTCTAAGGAGAGTTTTGAACAGGTTCTTTTCTAAAAAGAGACGTGAAACCACGCTCTGCTACCAAATTTTGTCAGGAATAAAACCCAACAAATGAAGATTTAGGCAGTGAACCTTATTTGAAGGAGAAATTGAGTATGAAAGTTTGAATGAAACGCAGAAATTCGGTCGGGCTGCGACCGGGGTGAGAACACCCTATTATAACGTTGATATATTCAAGGAAAGCAACGATTAACACTCAATAAATTCGCTCGCGAAGTCTTGGATGAACCGCACGCTCAAGAGGTAGAAACCGGACTGTGTAGATCATTATGATTTTCGGAAACAGGAAAACTGTCCTTCAAGGACGAGATTTAGCAATAGGATTATCAGAGAAATGTAGCCTTGGAGGCTTCCGTAAGTTGCGTGAGAACCGAGGTTTTCCGAGGTTCTCACAGAAAGTGGAATTTTATTCTCAAGGACGAGAATTTGGGTTCTCAAACTCGTTTGCTAAAAATAGACCTGTAAAATTCGCGACAACAACGACGAAACGCAATTTTCACCTTGGTTTTGAGAGCATTCCTCCGGAAGAAGGCTTTGCACGACTCGCACGTGATGGCATTGAAATTGTATCCCAAGGCTTTGTCACCACACACCAAACAAAATTTTGAATCTCCTTTTTTCAGCGGCTGCGTGCCGTGCATCACCTCCTGTTCATCCTGTAGTTTCATGTCGTTTTTGTCGAACGCAGACTCTAACATAAGTCAATCCAATCGGAAAAAGCTTCATTTAAACTTTAAAACGGCACATCGACACATGTATGGGCGAAATATTTGCTGTGAACCGCGATCAATACGGTAAACAACAGGTAACCAACTGATGAACCTTGAACACACACACACACACACACGACTTAAATTATAGCAGGCAATTCTTGGTCGAAAAAAATCCAGCAAATCCCTGCGATCAATGAATTGACGAATACGCGAGAATCGAAACATGTTTTCCGATTACACTTGTGATCGTCCATGAACTTGACCAAAAAACGTTATATACTCTGAAAAAAATTCTGCCAAATTTTAAACTTGAAAGCGTCCCGCAGAAATCCCCGTCCACGTGACTGAAAAGGACAGAGATATTACGTCAGGAAATTTCCTCAAGTTCTAGGCAACACGTGCTAAGTCATTCGAGTCGTCCGACTTCGACAGATGCTTTCCGCCCGATAAGAAAAAAGCGAGAAGCTCAACCATATTGATAAGAAAAAGAAGTAGAATATGCTCTGTTCTCACTGTCTGCTTCTGAAGACGAACTCGGCGGATTCAAAAACAACTCGTGGATCCCTATGACAACGAATATGTTTCACTCACAGTTCCGGACGATAAAGGTGGGAGTGAATCGAGCATTTGGAAGCGAATATTGGAAAGAAGGATACTGGGGCAAAAAAACGCGAAAAACGGATATATCTTAATAACCATGCGCTGTCATATCGAAGAGTACTCCCGACTTCAGTCTCCTTCCAAGACGCGTTCTTCCACACGAATGACTTTCCAAGCGACCAGTATGACGAACATCGGATGCATTCATACTACAGTATTTCAAAAATAATTTCTCGAATTAAGGAACATACCGGAAATTGTGAAAATCCCTCGCACCGTTCAGAATTCAACACCATTCTCCATCATCGTATGCTGGAGATTCACAAAAGAATCCTAACCGGAGGCTGATCCAAACAGGAAATCACCCAGGAAATTCGGCAGGTTTAATCCTATCAGACGCGTACGCATTGCGGAATCGTAGGCATACAGTATAGGAGTCAAAAATATTTTTTTTAACAAAATTGGATTAGAAGTTTAGAAGAAAATATGGAATTTCCTCAAATTTTCTTCCTCACAGTATTCATTGAACATTCATACTACAGTGTGTTGATTGATATTTTTTAAGTTGAAAGGGAAAAATTACGGATGCCGACGGGGCCAAGCGCACACAGGAAAGATAATTAAAAAAAAGCATAAGCCATAAATGTCTATATTGTACAATTGTACATCGCACGAAAGTACGGATTCAAATTTCCGGAAACAATAACTGCCTAAATCAAAAAGCAAAACTATTATTCCGCAAACTGTACCATATGCAGTAATCATAAACGAAACTTTTCACTGTAGAGGCGTCAAGTCGAATGTTATAACGCGGCAACTCCAAGTTCAATCCAAAATGGACGTCATTTTTTAACAAAATGCGTGCTACTCTCCTCTTTGACGTTCTAATATATAAATATACGTTCGGAAGTCAAAATTTTGTTTTGTACACTAACGTTTTGGACACCCACTAAAAAAAAAGCTGTCCAATTCCAAGAAAATTCAGAGGGCGTAATAAAAAAAAATTGCTCCATCACTAGAAAAAAGCCAATAAGAAACATTAGTAAATCATTTGTTGAGAAAGAACGTTTTCGGCGAACTTGTGAATACCAAAACAGATCATCAAGAACAGAAAATTCAATGATTGCAGTAGGATCACGCACAAATTAATGCATCAGTTGTTGTGTTACCTGAAGGGCAAATCGCATAAAAGGCGGATCAGCATCTCTTGGGAAGCATTCCGTAGAAGCATGACAATTTTGATTCAACGAAAACTGCTGACTAATTGAGAAAAAAGTCCGACGCAATTCTCGGGAATCGAGACGATTAAAATCATAACTTAAAAAACAATGCGTTGATGAACTGATTGATCTGGAAATGGTGGAAAAAGCGCGTGCCGTTTTCCGTACTCACCAGAATATCAGACGACATCAATTTCGAGGCACTGATTCTTCAAACCTTTCAAGTTCCAACTACTGTATAAAAAGTTTGCTTCTGAATGTAAGAAGCTATGCCATTTGTTTGACAACATGACAGGAACGCATCGGAAGGGACACAGAAGTGCAGCAACTTCATAATTTTAGAATATTTTTAAAAGCAACGCATCGAAAAAAAAGAAAAAATCGGCGAACGGAGAACCGCAAATTTTGGAAGAGTGCACATTTTTGAACGAACCACAGCCCGCACTTCGCCAATGAATATAAGTTCCCATTGCTTTTAACACTTATTCGGATCAATCGGGAGAAAAGCGCATCTTATACTAACTTCTAGACACCCGTTGAAAAAAAAAAGAATTCGCAGGATGTAATACCTGAAAATTTTGAAACCACGTTAATAAATTGCCCTATTACTGTAGAATAAAACCACTAGAAACGATTAAGTAAATCATTTGTTGAGAAAGAGAGGTTCTGGCGAACTTCTGGAAACCATCTCATCAAGAGCACAAAATTAATTACTGCAATAGATACAGCAACGGTTGTTTTAAATTCGCACGAACTTATAATATAAGTAAATCATTTGTTGAGAAAGAGAGGTTCTGGCGAACTTCTGGAAACCATCTCATCAAGAGCACAAAATTAATTACTGCAATAAATACAGCAACGGTTGTTTTAAATTCGCACGAACTTATAATACGAACTTCAAAAGAAGGAAGAATCACGATTCTCGCACACTCTTCCCATTTGATTTTTGATCCGTGTCCAAAAAAATAAATGCTCACATTCACGCACACATTCGAACACACCAGATTACTCAAATGACTCACATCTGAGTAGACACCCCCGCAGAGCCTGAAAGAAAAAGAAGGCAAATAAGATCAGAATGCATCAAATTTCAACGCCTTCAAGGAGGATCAAAGAGAAACAAACAAAAAAACGGAAGGCGCAATTGTAGAATAATTTCTTTCTCATAATTGTTCCGTTTCATCCTCTCGCAATCAAGCTTCTCAATCTCACCAATTCACATGATCTCAACGAATTTCGCGTAACACGGCGTCCACAAATAAATATACCTCCGCGCGATTACGCGGAAAACCACAACATCAAAGGTTTACAACCGCGTAAACCCTGAACAAAGCCAGTCTTTTCTTTACGCTCACTAAAGCAATATTGATCCTCACAAAGTGATAAAACCGTTCGACGCGACTATGGCGTGGAATCGTCACCTCGAGACTGAGACGTTTCCATCGTAGAATAATCTTGGAACTTACGTTTTCAAAATTCTGAGCATGGAGCTGAACAATGCGAAAAAAAAAACAGTGCAGCCAGGAACTCAGGTGCAGTTTTTCTTTTTTTTTTTAAGCCAACGTCATATGAGAACGACTTACGTTCTCTTTGTTGCGTTACAAAACAACTTTCTGCAAATGGCTATAAGCAATGTCGTGAGCGTAAAGAAAAACAACTAACTAAAAAGTACAACTTCGCGTGAACCTCCAGCTTGCTGAAACTCGCGACTCCGAGGTACAGACAATAACCGCGACGAATTGGTAACGTTCTCCCTTTTTCTGGAGAAAAAAAAAATCCTCTCGGAAATATACAATCGAGGGAGAAAATGGAAGAGAACAAAGGGTTCAGTTTTAGTTTTTCCCGCGCGCCGGAAACAACAGCGTGGAAGCGAGAAACTAAAACGAACCCCCGCAACGTATACCTGGAATGACGTTACAACTTCAAGATCCATCTTCTCATCCATCTCGCGATATGGCACCGATGAACAGGACATACAATTTACTACGCTCTTCTTTTAACTCAAAAGGGAAACTTATCAAGAAAGTAGTAACGAATACGTTAAAATATCGCAAGGGTTCCGCAAGGACATTATTCATTCTCATTGTTCAGCGTTTTCGTTGGCACACAATCCTGGATCCATCAAGACTTCATATCTTCACTACTATATTTCGTCATGTCGAATAAGCATCACGTTGTGCTCCAAGTTATTTTACCGAATCTAACTGCGGAAAGCAGAACATCCCACTGGAATATGAATCAAGAAATGAACCACGACGCAAACCGGGAGTGGTGAAATTACTACGCGAAGATCCGGACCAAAATCGCTGCACAATGACAATACTCAGCACCGAATAATCCCACATTATTCGATTCGTCCCCACAACCGACAGAAAAAGAATCTTCGCAACTGCTCCAAAAAAGTTACGGGAAAGATTTTCGCATCTGATATGAATAGCTCAAATTTCTTCCCACGGGATTTCAAAGAAAAAATATTTAACCATCGGAGTAACTCGATTTTTAACTTTCGTTTGCCATCGAATATCACGAGCCTACATCCGCAGGAGGAAAAAAAGATCCTACTTGAAGAGAAGGTATTTTTTCCTTTAAAAAAAAATATGCAATTCATTCGAAAGGTAAAAGAAAGCGTTGATTAATGACCTCCAACTTCCATCAAAACATCCCATTACCATTAAAAAATTTCGAAATGAAAATTCTTCTCCAGGAAAGGCCTCCACTTTGCTGATAGGACGGGATTGTTGCAGGACAAGCACAATTTGAAAAAATAAATCCCGGTTTACTCGCTCGATACGCACTGCGTTCGGAGTCAACATTTCACATGCTGTTGTCCGACCTTTGACAAAAATGCCTGCAGACTGCAGAAGCATTCGATTCGGTGCGTGAATTATATTCACTCAACACATAGCTATTTTGCGTTTTTCACCGAACCATAATACTAGTATTGCCCTATAATTTATTATATGCACGAAATTAATTATGACACTGAAATCGGATAACAAATTGACTTCGAAGTATTGCCGTTGACTAAGATATTTCCAAGACTCGTGGAAGTTTTACTGAGGATTAATTTAACAAAACGTTGTTGACTAAAAATATATCAGGAGGAAGTTTTTAAATGAGACAACGGACGTAAGAGCCAAGCGGTTGAAGAACTTCTTCAGACCTACATAAAAATCGGTTTACACTTATCCCATTGTGTTCAGAAGACATTTCAACGTAAATTTAATTTATAATATTCAGCGAATCATTCCCTGAATTCCGATCAAGCATAAAAATCATCATCACACCTCGATTTGGAATTCCGCGATCCTAGAAATGAAGAAAACTGCGTCAGGTGCAATTATCAAACGACGGGATGAAACTTCGATTCGACAAGAACTGGAAGAGAAGACGACAATCTCAACAAAAAAAGTACAACTCATCCGACGATGCAGTGATGAGTTAGTTTCTTGGTCAATTAATCCACCTTGGGAAAAATTCAAAGAGGAAAAAACTATTTCGTTGTCTCACAAGAATCGATCAGTCATTCGCCCAAACTCCAGGTCTGTTCGGCGCCGTCGACGCAATCGAACCTTTTCTAGTTCCGGGTGAGGAGGCCGAGGCACCAATCACTACTGTCGCCGCATCGGACGATGTGTCATCCCCTGCAATGAGATGCGACACTGATATTATATTCCCAATTTGATGACTTCAAAAATAAAATTCAACGAAGTCTGACGGGTACAGAAATACACTTTTGACGCTTATTTTTGATTCAATAGAGGTATTAGTCAACTCTTCTGAAGAAAACAAAATTTCATCACCCGCTCCAAATAATTAATTACAGTCAAACCTTGATTGGACGCCACCATCCGTCCGAGAGATTTTTGACGATTTAAAGAGGTTGACGGTTTTTCGAAAATATCAATAAAATGCTAAAGGATATGAATCTCATTTGCATGAAGAAGCGATATGTTCGAACAGAGGAATCCACACCAATGATGACAATGCCTTTAAAATAACTTGATGTTATGCATACCAGAATTAATCTGCATATCAGTTTAAATTTTTTGAAAAGAATCAATAAAAATAATATATTCTCTTCAAGTTCCAAATTTTTAACATGATTCAACGAATTACAAAGTATGCCAAAATAGAGAGCAGAAAGGACCCGTAATTTCTGTGAAGATTTTTTAACTTATTCTAAAAGTGGCAGACTAAAATGTAGAAAGTCGGGTAAGAGGTTTTTTTTTAAGTTCTCGTTGGGATGGATTCCTTCTTCATATATATTTTTTGTTTCATTTGAGGTGAAGCAGAAATACAAAAATATCTGCAGTATCTACTGTTCCCAATAATTTTTTTTCTTTCCATGTCGGATCATGCCTGATATGGACATTTGCAATGTATGTAACATTCTGACTTTGGAGAGATATCGTAGACAGACATAATGCCAAATTTGTGCGATCGAAAATTTCGGCGGATGGCGTCTTATCAAGTTTTCCCATGGTTTTAATATCATGAAGATTTCTTCAACAATTTTTGAGGGTTCCCGAGGGTGACTGTTTAACGGGGTTTGACTGCACTACGAATACATTTTCAAGAAATTGGATCATCATCAAATTTACCCGGGAGAGGATACGAATAAAACTTCAAATTAGTTTGATTTTTCAAATAAGTATGAAAACTATGAAATTCACTCATTCCCAATTATTCGAATTTTGTTTCACATGAACATAATTCCATTCTCCTTCATGGTCTATTCAAGAATTGGATGCGAGAAAGAAATTTCGGTATCAAAGAGAATGCAACTAGAGCAGCTGCAAGATCAGGGGCGCAATCAATGCCATTCAATTCAAACATTTTCGGAAAATCTCATTACGGGATTCGGGAAGCCTATTCAACGATCTTTGACCTCTAATTTGAAAACCGAGCAAACCACACTAGAAAATTAAAATAATTCACCAGCGCTGTTGCTCAACAGCCCGCCATAGAATAAATCCTGCTCGGCAATCTCCCGCAAAAACTCATCCTCCAGACGTTGTTTACGCGGTTTGAGCAATGCTCGCCAGTCTCGCAATTCACGATTGTACTCTTCCTCCTGCTGCTTGAGTTTCAAGTTTTCGTGTTCCGTCAGCAAGCGTTTCTTGTCAGCCTGAACATTTTCCAACTCCGACATGGCCAACTCCGCCTGCCGATGAAGATCCTCCAGTTGCTTGCGATGCTTTCGCTCACATCGGTCCTGTTCTTCCTTGTATCGCCGATTCTCAGTTTCCTTCAAATAGAGGGACAAAACATATCGAATTTTATCAATAAGAACGACAAAAGTCACTGTGAGAATGCATGGTCGAAAGATGTTTCGAAAAGAAACTTCTACTTCGACGACCAGACTTTAAACGACAATACGTGCAGGGTGATTCACAAACAAAAATAAACGTAAAAGCGTGGAGTATAGCCTCCAAAATCTGTGATGAGAAAGACAGAACTATGTGAAATAATGGAGGCATCATTGCGCGCTATCGAACTTTTCGGGATCTAGGGAATGGGACAAAACTTCTGACAGCTTCAGGATGACGATTATCGTCTGTTCAAATGAGAGCAATGAGGGAAAATGCACGGCATCTTCAGTTGAATGATTCTCGTTTCTATCATTACTGAACTCTGAACGTGAATGGATCACAGAGGCATCGACCAAAAATTGTGCCTTGACCCCAGAAGGCGCCACTCGCTCATATATTCATGAAGCACTGAAATATTCACGCTTTCGTTGAATCGTATACCACGTGAATCACTTGGTATAACCTTCCACGGAAAAAAGAAAACGCACAAAATTTACTCACAACCATTTACAGTTCATCGTCGACCACTTGTGAAAAAAGTGTACCAAGAAGTTTGCAATTTTGTCTCACCTGAAATTGACGCATCTTTTGCTTCTCTCGCTCAGGGTCAGTTGGGAATCCGGAATCAGCAGAGATTTTCAGACTCGCCCTGAACATCATCTCTCTCACTTTCCGCTCTTGCCGAATATACTTCGGCATCTGGCGCCTTTCCACCGCCTGTCTCTTCAGTAAGTCCGTTTCCTTTTGAACCAATGTTCTTTTGGCCCCTTCCTTGTCCCGATCGTGCCTCGCCTTCATTTGATGTCTCTGGAGGAAGAAGATCTCCTTCAATTGCTTCTTGGCCAAGATATGCTTGTCCACTATCTGCTTCTCTTCTAGCTCCCACAACGTTGCTTCTCTTGCTCGACGCAGCTTATGTTTCTGGTCCAAAAATTCCCTCTCGAGTTTTGCAATGTGTTCGCGATGCTTTTCGTGCAACTTTTTCAGCTCTGCTTCGTGCTTATCGTTCAGCGTTTCCACGAAGGCTCGTTCTCGAGACAACTGGTCTCTCTCTAGGACTTCCTTCTGGGCCTTGAGAGCTTCTTTGCGACGGTCTTTGGGCGTGGTAGACTCGACGTGATTCCTCAAAGCTTTAGCTTCGTTTTTCAGACTGTCCTTGAAGGCTTTGAGTTCCTTTTCTTGGTCCCCACGAATGGCTTTGGAATTGAGCTTGAGGTCCGTTTCGAGCTGTTGTTCGGCTCGTTCGACTTGAAGTTTTTGAGCACGCGTCATCGACTCCAGTTCAGCATCGTACTGGCGCGACAACTGGCTCATCTCTTGCTCGAAGCGTCGTTCTTGCTGGTCCCGAGCAAGCTGCGCTTTCACAGCCAAGTCCTGCAAATTTTCAAGAATAGTACGCAATGGAATTATTTTATTCGCTTCAGAAAATTTCCCGCATGTTACCGGTGGTACCCCCCAGAAAGCAGCACGAAACTTACTGCTACGCGAATTTCGTGGGGAAAATAGAAACTTTGCTGAAGGCGAAAAAAGTTCAACAAAGCCAATAATTTTTTTCGGCGCGCGATTGAGCACACTCGAGTATATTTCACATCCAGAACAGCACACGCCCATATGGCGAGTAATTAGCGAAAATACGCTGGGGATTTTTCGTCTTCTAGCATACAAAAGAAATTCGAAAAGCTATCAAAAAATGAATTTTTTAAAGCAAGGTAAAGAACTACTGTATGATAAAATCTTGTACTTGATTTATTCACGCAAATAATAGGCAGCCTAATATTTGTAGATGAGAATGAAAGCATCAATCATGCGGAAATCTTTAGGAAGACCGCTGTTTGTGACAGAGCCTCAGCATTTAAGCAAAATTATTACGGGACAACGAAATCTGGATTAGTAAGAAAACTGTTCGAGGCACACGCCATTTCAGAATGCACCGTTCCGTGACACGCTGGAATTACCAGGATCGATCAAATTAATTCACAGAAAAGAATTAAATTAAATAAAAAATCCGAAGGGGTAATGCAATGAAACATCAATGCAAGAGGCCTCACACACAAGAATAACCACGAGATAATTTTCGACGATAGAATGGTTTATTTTCTTCAGTGTTGTTTCATACTGCATCGTGAATTCGTGATACAGGTGAACTTTCTCAACAACAATCTTGTATACAACGATATCCTCATTAGAACGATTTTTTTTTGTGTCACATAGGGTTCTCTTTATTTTCTTCAGTGTTGTTTCATACTGCATCGTGAATTCGTGATACAGGTGAACTTTCTCAACAACAATCTTGTATACAACGATATCCTCATTAGAACGAATTTTTTTGTGTCACATAGGGTTCTCTTCCCATGTTTTAGGCAGTTTTCTTTCCAACGATTTATTTTCTGGCCCCTGAATTTCGTCGCAGAGAGACTCCACCTTTATTAAAAAAAAATAGGCGAAGTGTACAAACCTGAAACTGCTTCTGTTCCTGCTTTTGCAGCATTTTCAATTCTCTGAGCTCTTGCTTGCGCATCACGTGATCGTCCGACGGTAGCCCACCGTTTTCGTCTCCATAGTAGACCTTGCTCGTCGTTGTTGTGACAGTCACGCCGTCGATCTCGAATTTCCTCGTACGCTTCCGAGTTTTTTTCTTTATTTGCATACTTTCGAGCTCTTCTTTGCTCCTTTGAGGTCTTTGCTTTCTCCGCATTTGCACCGCGGCTTCTGGAGGTCCCATTGCGCCGGTCTGTTCATCCGGTACGTTTTCTTTGTCACTGCCCCGGCTGCTGATCGTCGCATTGCTTTCCGTTTCCCATTTGGGTGCAGCAACTGGAGTAGACGCAGCCAAGGGTTCTGCGGTGGCACCCACAGAGCGCCGCCAGCCGGCGTCATTTTCGGCCTGATGAATGAAGTAAGTTGATTTGTTTATGCTGCATACAAAATTAAAAATATAGCAGGAACGGATATTGCGCGGAAGCTTTGAGCCGTCATTTCGTAGGATACATGACGCTACAGAAATTAAGATACGACGAACTCTTTGAGACGGTGCCGCAAACTACTATTTTCGCTTTAGTTATATGAAAATTTCCTTTTTGCCGAAGAAGAGATATGCTCAATATTGTACATGGAAACGCGGAGTAAAACTGTGCTTCTAAAAATTCCACCGAAGCACCAATTCGATCAGCTCATTGATTTGAAGGTCCAAAACTTGTCAGGAGGAAGTATAATAGAAGTTCGCATTACTATTTCCCATATTGAGTCTAAGAAGGAAAACTCAAATGCGACACTTCCCGCATCACCAAGCATAACATCGGGATTTTCAAGAACTCCTGCAAGGCGAAAATCAGCATTTCTTGGCGAGTTTCAACTCTTACACGAAAATCTCGCAGAAATGAATCAACATCAGTTGTCGAGGTGGCGGAAAAGTTCGAAGATGATAAGAAAAGTATTTAAAAATCTTTCGACATTGGTTTCAAACGCAATCAAGATGGACCATTCAACAATAAATTATAATTTCACACCACTCAGTGACATTTTGGACTATATATCCCTCAATACTGTTTTTTTTTTGAGCAGTTTGCTTTATGGCAATTCGAAGACTTGACACTTTTCGTAGAAATTTTATACGAAATCTTAAAAGTGGTAATAAATGCTCATACTCCTCAACAAACAAGTTATGGTTCGTGATCACAACGCATTTCGATCATCCGTCGTAAACTCATACAAAAAAGTAATTGCAGCAGAAAATTACAAAAATCGTACTTTCGAGTAAAGACAGGCAAAGCACATGTTTCTTTGACAAAAAAAGTCTAATGCACTCTAGGTTCATGAAGAATTTTTTTTTCTGCATAAAGCGCTAAATTTCTCACAACTTTAAAATTAAAGAAGCTTACAGCAACAGGCACTCGTTGCGGCTCGGGTTGTTCGGGCAAAGCAGAAACTGATTTCGATTTTTCCTTGTCTCGTTTACGACGTTCTTCTTCACGATGACGACGACGAAGATTTTCTTTCTCTTCTTCCTGCCTCTNTTTGTTTATGCTGCATACAAAATTAAAAATATAGCAGGAACGGATATTGCGCGGAAGCTTTGAGCCGTCATTTCGTAGGATACATGACGCTACAGAAATTAAGATACGACGAACTCTTTGAGACGGTGCCGCAAACTACTATTTTCGCTTTAGTTATATGAAAATTTCCTTTTTGCCGAAGAAGAGATATGCTCAATATTGTACATGGAAACGCGGAGTAAAACTGTGCTTCTAAAAATTCCACCGAAGCACCAATTCGATCAGCTCATTGATTTGAAGGTCCAAAACTTGTCAGGAGGAAGTATAATAGAAGTTCGCATTACTATTTCCCATATTGAGTCTAAGAAGGAAAACTCAAATGCGACACTTCCTGCATCACCAAGCATAACATCGGGATTTTCAAGAACTCCTGCACGGCGAAAATCAGCATTTCTTGGCGAGTTTCAACTCTTACACGAAAATCTTGCAGAAATGAATCAACATCAGTTGTCGAGGTGGCGGAAAAGTTCGAAGATGATAAGAAAAGTATTTAAAAATCTTTCGACATTGGTTTCAAACGCAATCAAAATGGACCATTCAACAATAAATTATAATTTCACACCACTCAGTGACATTTTGGACTATATATCCCTCAATACTGTTTTTTTTTGTGCAGTTTGCTTTATGGCAATTCGAAGACTTGACACTTTTCGTAGAAATTTTATATTAAATCTTAAAAGTGGTAATAAATGCTCATACTCCTCAACACACAAGTTATGGTTCGTGATCACAACGCATTTCGATCATCCGTCGTAAACTCATACAAAAAAGTAATTGCAGCAGAAAATTACAAAAATCGTACTTTCGAGTAAAGACAGGCAAAGCACATGTTTCTTTGACAAAAAAAGTCTAATGCACTCTAGGTTCATGAAGAATTTTTTTTTCTGCATAAAGCGCTAAATTTCTCACAACTTTAAAATTAAAGAAGCTTACAGCAACAGGCACTCGTTGCGGCTCGGGTTGTTCGGGCAAAGCAGAAACTGATTTCGATTTTTCCTTGTCTCGTTTACGACGTTCTTCTTCACGATGACGACGACGAAGATTTTCTTTCTCTTCTTCCTGCCTCTCTGCCTCTGCAGCAGCAGCTTCGTACTCGGCATCTCGAACATCCTCACCCTTCTCCAGCGTGATTTTGACGGGGACTTCCGGGGCACGTTCAATTCTTTCCACAAGGACGTTGGAGTCCGTTTTTGTGTCCACATGTCCCACGACGTAAACTTCAGAACACGGCGTAGAAGACCCTAATATTTGAACAAGAGGCAAATAATTACTTTACTATTTCACCCCGAAAGAAAATAGCATAGAAATAGGATGACGAGCTTATATTCAGCTCTACCCTCTTTTAAAAAAAAAAACCAAAAAGTATTTGCCGTCAATTTGTGCCGCTATCTGTTTACAACTGAAAATCTGACGCAGCAATAAAGCCGTTGCAACGACAAAAATAGATCGAAGAACGCATGAACAAGATCTGCCTTCAAATGCTTTGAGTCATGGCTTGTAACCGGATCAGCACTCAGTCGAAACTGAACTAACGATTCCCCAATGTCGCCATTTATTGCTGGGTTTCTATGAAACACTTGTTTTTAAAATCTGCCAAAATCGCAGACAAAAGGAATGTGAATGAAAATTTGTAAGATACGCAGGGAAGATCAATTGAAAAATTGCACGGGGAATCGTAGTCATGCTAACAATGCGAAGAAATTTAAAAAAATGTGTGCTATCCACAAAATTCCGAAGGGCTCCACAAGATTTCGTGATCACATTTTTCGTGCGACTGGAGGACATAGAAGGCGATGTGTGATTATCATTTGCTCATTCTTCAAAAATGTAGGAGAGCATAAAAAAAATCGGAAACATGTTGACGGAGACAACAATTGGAGAGCTATGAACCAGGGCGACTACAACAACAGCTGAACTTCGATAACTTGAAACATTTCTCAGTCAATTTTTTTTTCAAGTCCCCGTCTGAATTTCCTTAAAAACAATATACCGTACACCCTAGAATATCACAATTACGATTCACTGTAATTCTTCTTTCTTTCCCACCTACACAAGTGCTTGTGTCCCTAATTCGAATTTTTTTTGCAGAGGTTCGACTATATTACAGAACTTCACGTGATCTAATTGAAATTCATAATCCACTTATTCATTTATCCATCATTCATAAGCATTCTTTAAGCGAGGGTTGGAGAAGATGTACTTCCCTTCACGCATCCACATAAGCTTCCAGAACATAATCCTAATTTGAAATAGACCAAACTTTCGATCCAGGGAACGCTGTCTAACCATTGCTGGAAGCTTCATGTCTTCCAGAATCAGACGGAGGTGCAGAAGCAAGTATCGACGAGCTGGTTGACCCTGCATCGAATGACGAATCCCTCACATCATCCCGCTCCGATCCCACTGTCACGATCGACACGTGACTCGTCTCCGTCGCCTTCCGGGTGGAATCAAAAGAAAGTTCATCATCTTTCACCCCGGTGACTATCACGACGGATGCCGCGGGCGGCGATGGCTGGCTGGCTGGCTGCGCTGATGACGCCTTCGGCTCGCTAGGCGCGGTTATCACCGTTGGACCGGTTATTATCACTACTTCTTCCGAAGTTTGTCCTGGAGATAACGCAGCAAGGAAAGACGCATGAGTCACCACTTCCTCAGAGAAAATAAGCTTTTTTTTTTCTTTGTGAATACGGCAAACGAATATGATCGTAAAGTATAAAATTCCTAGAAAATGCCTGCAACGCCGAACTGCCGTAAAGAATGAACCAACTAAAAATAAATTTAATTTTTCTGATTTTACACGTATTTTTTAAACTTAACCCATGAGGAAGATTACATGTTTTCTTATTTCATTGATATCAGCGAAATTCACGTCGGTCTTCAATGTGTTGATCATCTATTTACCTCGGAAGTGGGGTCCACCGAAATGAGACTAAATATCTTTTTGAATCTTTCAGTCGATACTCATTGATTTTTCATTATTCAAAACATGGGAAACGTCCGATATAACGAAATACGCCTTAAAACAAATGAACAATGTTCGCATGAGGCACCACTGTATCCTTACAAACAAAACATGCAACTACTGGAATAGACTTTTCGCAATATGAATTTGACAAGCTCCACAATTACCGATCAGTTACTTCGTTCCAGATTTCCGCAAGCATTTGGTAAAAATTGAAACCTCGCCGAGATTAAAGAAAAACGTGCTTTTCGACTAAATATGAATTTACGCGATTGCGACAAAAAGCTGGACACGTTCATGGTAATCAAAAATTAATTCATGAATCGAGCAGTTGAGGAATTGGACACTAAAATTTGGTTTACAACAAAAATAATGGCTGCTAAATCGAAATACAAAAGAATAACACTACAGTCAACCTGGCAAATAGGTATAGATTCGCCGTGTCAAGCCTAAAAATCGAACGTACAGAATAATATAGGATGTTCTTTCGAACGACTTATCAAGCGAATTAATGCAGAAATCAAGCAGTAGTGGCAACCTATAACACACCTGACAGATAAGTTGACTCATAAGCCGACGCACTGTTGCCCCTCACACTGACACTCACTCCTCCACTGGAAGTGGATGGAGTAGGACTTGGAGAAGATACAGCATCTTGCGATACCGACAAAGCCGGACTCGAATTACCTGTTACATCAATAACCGTGGTCAAAATTCTTTCACAGGACACCGTTGAATCAAATACGCAATGCAAAACGTTTCCATTATGGGGAAATTAAAATCGCTTTCACGGTTCGGTTTTCAAAGAAGCACATGGGTGCCGGTCTAGTGAGTCAATCATCAGTTCATTTAATAGCATCCATGAATCTTCCCTACCAGAATTCTCAGCGGCTTCAAAATATTGTACAGATGGACTCTCTCTACGAGGAAAATTCGTTGTAACCATTGCAATGCGGGGAGAGAACCCATGGGACAAAAAAAATCGATACAGACAAAATCGTCGTAGAAAGAGTCCAGCTGTAGCTACTTCCCCCCTCGAAAAGACCCGATATTCTTGGGCCATTCCAAGAGATTCTTCGGTTATTTAAGCGCAGTCTACAAGATGATCATGGATATTGCACGCATTCTGAACTCACCAAATGTTCCCTCTCCCACAAACTGAACTCTCTCTTTAAAAAAAAAAAGTGACGTTGCCTGGGCGATAAAGAAGCTAAGTTGGTGAAAAAGTGTTACTCGTGGATTGCTTGGCAGATGCTGCATTAGACCAGTGGCGGAACATAAAAAGCCACTCACCTGAGTCCGTGACTGTCAAAGGTGCCTTGGAATCTTCCTTGATAACAGCTTGAGAGATTTGCGGAGCGATCTCCTCCAAAGGCTCAGTTCTAGAAGATTCTTCTTCGGCTACAATCGTAGGCACCGATATCGGTTTGGATTTCGTCGTCTGAGGTTGAGGTGGAAGAGGAGCGGGTTGCGATGGAGCATGAGCGGGCTGCGATGGCGCAAGAGCAGGTTGAGGTGGAGCAGGTTGAGGCGGAGTAAGTTGAGGCGGAGCAGGAGCAGCGGGTTGAGCTGGCACTGGCACATGCACCGGCGGCTGAGGAGCAGGTCCTTTGGAAGGTACCTTTTTGCGGAATTCACCAATGGATGAATCCCCGACAGACGCTTTCCGCTTCTTGGATTCATTCAACTCATCGCTTGTCGCAAATGAATCTATCGTTGACGTAGATAACACAGAATCTTTCCTCGTTGACGCGGTGCTATCCAACAAACTGGCTTGCGACAGTCGATTCTCACTCGGATCTGCTTCACTCATCTCCTGTCGAATTCAGATAGATTTTGAGAAACCGGAAGAATGAATATAAGTATAAAACATATACACGCTTATTCAAGATACATTTGTCGAAGTTTCAAAATGAAAACATCAGCAATCTGTCATTTCATTTGATGAGATATTGTATCGTCAGATTCTCGGATAAATAATTCTACATGGAAGTTTCTGGTATTTCGAGAAAGCGACAGTCTCAGTATAGTTCAGTGATTTGCAATGGCAACAAGCAAAGGAACGGTTAGGTTTAGAGGCTTTTCGAAAACACTTATAAATATCGCGGAAGATTGACGGATATAACTTACATCTTCTTCAACCGTTTCTTCCACGACATCCGCTTTATACTCAAGCAACAGATCTATGACAGGCTTCGGCGAAACCTTGCCAGAAACAAATGGATGCTGAAAGAAGAACGAGTCAGTGAGTATAACTGCACAAGCATCAATGAGAAAGCAAAACTTACACTAAGGAGCTCCTCCGAGGTACACCGTTGCGCAGGATCTTTCAGTAGACACCTAGCAATGAAATCATTGAAGTCACGGGACCATCGATGAGGAAAGTCCAGCTTTGGGGGATCGCTTTTCTGTATCTTCAGCAGAACACGCATCGGGCTCATATCATGGTTCGGGGGCTCAATTTGAGCGAACTCGATCAATGTGATTCCCAGGGACCATATATCAGCCTGAAACGAAGAAATAAAACTTATCAGCTGATTTCGCTTCTTTCTGCGTGTATCCCTCTACATTGCCTACAAGAAAGACACAATATAGCACCAGTTTTTTCCAGAGGCACCTCAAGAAAATACCATCTATACAAGATTCCCTTTCTTTTGACAGCAGCTTGCTTCAAAAATGAACAATAGGAAGGTGAATGCTTCAGTTACAATACATAATACACAACGCTTGTTCTCCACGTCACATTTCTTTAATCGTGAGGAATGGAATCAGGAAGATGGATTTATTCGGTACTTGATTAATGAAACAGTCCGAGTTTCACTTCTATCCCATACTCGACACTGACGATAGCACGGTAATTGATTCACGTAGTGCAGAGCTTTCTAACGCTTTGACTTGAACCATGTCCATCAATGGTCAGTCTTTGCGCACTGCCACCGGCATGGCCGTTAATACACATTTAATAATTCTACAGAACACATACTTTCCCCAAGCTCTAAGCTATTATATCCTGAGTGATGATAGCAGATGAGCATTGCCCTAAAAGGTAATACGGACAATAAGAACCCTAAGCCATCAGATCAGCACAGATAATACAGACAGTGACCGAGTTACAACAGACCTTGAAATCGTACGGTCTGTCACGAATGGTTTCACACTGAACCACTTCTGGAGCCATCCAATACGGAGTCCCAATAAACGTGTCGTGTTTCTGCAGAGTGTACTTGTTCTTGGCAGAAACACCGAAATCGGCTAGCTTCACCCCACCACTCATGGTGAGCAGAACATTCCCGGCTTTCAAGTCACGATGAATGATTTTATGCTTGTGAAGAAAATCCAACGCTTCCAACATATGCTTGCATAGATACTGGATTTGCTTTTCGTTCAAAGCCTTCTCCAGATCCACCATAATTGAGTCCACCGCACCACCATCGCAATACTCGATGAGCATCTAATAACACGGGAAAACACAGATTAAACTTAGAACAGAACACATCTTTTCGAAAGAGGTCCCGCTACTGAGCATGTGTAAATATCATACAGGTTGTTTGAAGCTTCCCCGAACTCCACCTGGTTAATTTCGCTCGATTACTCAAAAATGTAAGCCACCTGGCTTGAGGTATGAAAAATAATTTGCGGAGGACTTACCCATAATCGCCCTTCGAAGACGTAAGCTTCATAGAGGTCCACTATGTTCGGGTGCTTGCATTCACTCAGTATGTCTATTTCAACGGTGAAATCATCCAGATCCTCCTCGGCTTGCAAATCACAGATTTTTGCAGCGGCAAGAAGCGTGCCATCCTTTCGGGATGCCTTGTAAACTTTGCCGAAGGCACCATCACCAAGTTCTCCAATGATATCCCAGGTGTCATTTGGGTTCACATCATCCCTGATGTGATCGAATGTCTTCTTCTTCTTGACGGCTTCGGTATTACCGAGGTGGAAGACTTTCCTCAAATTATTGAAAAAAGACATTGCCCGCACGCGCTACGGCACGGGCAACATCTGACAAAGAATTACTATCCGAACTACCGACGGATTACGACCATTGGAACAAAGTCACTGCGTCAATAGGAAGCACATGAACCTACGAAATCAAATTCACATTAAATTCAAAATACATACGGAAGAGGTGAAGTCTAAAAAACGATCAGGAATGCGAGGCGTTCGCAACGGACGAAAAGATCACCGTTCGAGAAAAGGCTCACCACGATATAACCTGCTTGCATCAAGCCCACCCCACATTAAAAGCATGATGCTTGTCACACTACCGCGTCATTTCCTCAACATCCAACACAAGAGAACACAATTGCTCATTCCACGTTAGTTACGTCGTAAATAAGTGAACGGGCACCGAACGTACCAACAACCTCGTGGTTCGCTTCGAGACCTCCAGGAATGATCAGTTCTGATACTGTACCATGAATTCACTGAGGTACAGTACAAATATCTCAACATAGGTGACGCATGTATCTCTGATGAGTGACGACATACCAACTGCGTCACGCACACAGATAATATACAGTACTGTGTGGCAGTGAGACCCCAACATGCGGACACCTCATCATGAAGAAAATTTGAAATAGGGACACCTATTTTTCAATAAAAAATCATAAAAAAGACCCAAAATAGGGACACTGACTCAACATGAGGACATTGCATGATACAATTGCCAATAAATTTTAGGAAAATTGACTTTTATTAGGCTTAATTGCAGAAAACGGCTATTTCCAACACTAAGATCTATTCAAGAAAAATTCTTTGGTACTTTTCTCATCACTTTCCCATCCATTCAGCTGATTTAAAAAATTACATATAGCACAGGACTTCCTTCTCTTGTGACTTGGGTGTTATTTTTACAGATGGCAACATTTCAATGAACTGCATGTACAGCAGTATAGTATTCAATGCTCCAAAATGTTCCTATTGGGTTTGAAAAGGTATTCACTGAATCAAATTCAAGTGACAAGAAAAAATTTTAATGGAATTCTGGAGAATATTTCTTTTATAAAACACCAATTAAAAATATATATAATGTAAGTCTATGGGGAAAAAAGACTCAACTTATGGACAATTCAACTTAGGGACACTCTTGATGCACCAATTATGTCTGCATCTATCTGGGGGTCTCACCTGTATATGCCACAATAATCCTCACTCTGAAGTAATGTCAGCTTATACTGTACTATTAGTAACTATTACTATTATTCATCCACAGAGTGGTATTTTCAGTGTTCTCTAAAATTCGTGGAAATCTTTGACTGATCATCTGCGCGCTGGGTATTGTAACTTTTTCTATCATCATCGCATTTGAACATCATTGCATGATATAAATATTATATCGTCTCGTTTATTTTACTTCATAAAATTGCTCTTCATTTATTGCTGTTTCAGTTACAATAAGCAGTGACAAAATTTTGCAAAAACCATCTAAAAAAATATTTAAACTTTATTTATTGAAGCATACACATCATACATTATGTACTCAATATGCACGCAGGAAATTAAATACAGTACTGTACTGTGTACTGATTTACTGAACCATACTTCGCAATCTCCCAACCTTTGCTCGTATATATGAGCGCATCCTGGTACTGAATTCTTCGCAGAAGGAAGATCACTTCTGCTTTCAACTCTCATGGTTGATTTCGCTTTCGGGTATGTAAACAGATGTCGTTCCCAGCATAGCTGAAAAATGAATTTGATTAGTTGAGGTACTTGAGGATGAAGGCGGGATGCTTGCATATATTTACGCACTCTATGAAGCAGCATATACTGTATACCGTTTCTGATTATCAATATCAGTATACATCATGCAGCAGTAATGTATCTCGGATTAATCTTTAGACGTGTTGCAGCTCTTGTTCAGCACACACACACACACACACACATATATATATATATATATACGATAATGATTTTGTAATGAAATCGTTCCATGCAACTACAGTATATACAGCTGTATATGTAAGGGTGGACGGACTTCTCGCCGCGTAAGGTATTAAATAATGCTGCTGGTTATTGCTGAATCAGTATAAATATCAATCACGGTTGTATAGGGCGGATGTCAGAGCTCAAAGACTACCGCGTATACGGCCGCTAAAATAGGCCAGAGCGAGATCAAGCTAAAGTACATTATTGTACATAATACTGTACCGCGAAAGTCTATGCAAAAATTAACATTCGATGGCTGCATGAAAATAAAGTTCGTCAGCATTTGAGGACGAATACACCACGACAATCCCTTCGGACGGCAGCAGCAGTTCCGCTTATTGATAATCTATCATGTTAAGTGTGTGCAGCATGTGAGATGATGGCTATAGAAGTGTATACTAGCATTATATATTGCTTTCATTTGGAGCACGCGAATTCTTTTGATTGATAAATATTGCTTATATATATATCGCGGAAAGCAGTAATAATTCAACCCACAGCATACATCAGCAGCAGGTGATTGAGGAAAGCGCGTCTGATAATTTTTTTCTGGGTCACCCGCGTATATCATTCACGATGAACACTTTTTCCTTTCTTGTGCATCCCACGCACGTACGTACAATGATTTATCTGTTCATTTTTAGACTCGATATCCCTTTGTTACTTCCTTTCGTCTCCTATCCTGATAGTATGCAGTCGTTTCATCATGAGCATGCGACACGTTTGCTGTTGAAAGTCCTGCAAAAGCACACCTGATGGAATAAATGCGGGCGAAATGTACACGAACATCCATATATGACATGAGCACATCATGCGTCGCCGCAAAATTTATTGTAAAGCATCTTGATAAAAAAGTCGAATTTCCAGAACTCGTCATGGTTTATCCATTAAACTGTGATAATTTTCTAGAAATTAAAACTCACAGGTATTATGTTAGTTTATGTTGTGATTGCCTTCAACATTGGCCGCCACTTTGGCGGCTGTGAAGGCGGCTATTGATGAAAATGGCGGAATTGCCTGGGATGAACAGGAGGCAACCCTTAGAAAGAATGCCAAGTTGATTTCAAAAATTCTGAGGGGAAAGCTGGGGTACAACAAAAAAGGGCACTTCATTGTTTGTTATCAAGAAATTATCAAATCCACATGAAAAAATGTGTGTATGACTTTTAGTTGTAGAACAAAAAAAAATATAAACTGGTGACTAAATAAATTTTGTGGACAAGAGATAACAGACCAGAAGCGTCAGTCGCAGCTTGCATCAATCACTGCTGAATAATCATCAGCAAAATATATGGCACAGTACCGACTGATATAATAGACGGAGGTTTTTTTATGGACGAAAATAAACAAGCAAACATATCGAAGTGATTTCGAATCCCACGGTCTTTTCAGCAGTCACACTTTCTTTGCTTTTACCTTCGTCTTTCGTTGGTCCTGTCAGGAAAAGCTCTGCTTTCAGTCAGTGTTGGTTGAATATATATTCATCCGAATGCAGCGGTTGTGATTCCGTATTCCGTCTGACTCGTGTGCGAAAAATTACAGTGTGACCCCGAGATGCGGACGTTTGCTCAGACCTATAGTCCCTATTTATGTCGAATCGTTTGCACATAATACCTAGTCTATGCCGAATCGTCCGCATGTCGGATCACGTTTTCCCATAGACTTCAATGGAAACACATTTAATTGATTTGCCTGTTTATCAAAATTTATGCACCTAAAAAATTCAAGAAAAATCGTTTCTCTCAACTTCAAGAGACTGCATGTACAGTAAATATCTGTACTTACAGAAAAATACATTGAAACCGATATTTTGGTATAAAATAAAGAGCTCAAGAGGCGAAGAACAAGATGAGCAAGTCCTGCTCTCCTTAGCACAGATGTTAGAAAGAAAAAAAAAACTGACGAAGAAAGAAGCAGGAAGTCAGCCTGTTTTTAATTATGAATTAGACTAAACTTAATGCCAGTATAATTAGATAAATTTTAAACTTTTTGTGAGTATACGTAGCTCAATAACAAGATATATCAAGATTATTTGTATTGAACATTTTCGTTTTTTCATAAATATCGGAAAGTGATGTCCCTATATCAAAACTTTGTCCAGATGTCGGGGCAGATGTTTTGAGTTTAAAGTGTCCCCAAGTCAAATTGTCCGTATGTCAGGGTGTCCATACGTCGGGGTCTCACTTCCATGTATATGTCCATTGCTTCATGATCGGGGAACAAACTTATTCTGATTTTTTTTCGTGTCTCATTCCTGACCTACATTTTCAAGGTACAGAGTATTCAGTGATAAAAGAAAAGCACAGTTACCGTATTTTATTTTTATAGCATTCGAAAGGAATGCGTGATTTTAATTAATGCAGCCTCATGAACTGCTTTTCCGAATGAATTATGAATTGATTGAAACACAGAAAGGAAACACAAATATACAATACTGCCAAACTCAATATAACCTATATTTTTTGGCAAGAATGATGGGTTGGGGCTCAGAATAAATTCAAATGTTCGCGATCTTACCTTCGAAAAATTGCAGTTTTAGAGTCATTAAAACGGGGATACAATTTCATCTCAATTTTTGACTGAAAATCTCTGCCAATGCGCTTTCTTATATATGCCCGAGGGCGTGTGGTATATACTCGAATAAATATGATACGTGAACTATACTGGGATTACGTCACTGACAAAAACGTTTCAATAAAGTAATGCCTACAATTTTCTGTATCGTTTGTAACCCAAAACCTATATAGATTGCATGGGTCAGGCGATGATTTATAAAGGGTTGCAGATTTATAAAAAAAAACAGAACAGATCTTGAAGTTCACATTTTTAAAAATAAGGCAAGGCATCGTGAGTTCATAAAGAGTTTAATAATTTATATCGAAGAGGAAATTATTTTCGGCAGAGATACAGTACAGTATCTCAATTCCCCGTGCAAATTTATTCTATCAGCCTCTTTTCCTTTTTTTCTTGGTGTTTTTTTGTTCGAAACTGACAGTCTTGCCTGCAGTTTATACATCAGGATTTTATGATTTCTCAAGAATACAAACATGAATGTTTTTTCCACAATGACGGAATTGTAGAATATGCAAGGAAATCATCCGACAAGCTCAATCCCCTGCAGTATAACGGGCTGTCAACCTTAAATATATTAAAAATGCAGTAAAAATATTTCGGAAAATAATGGAATGTATATGGATCAATGTTGTACAGCATGTGGCCGTGCTGATTCATCAAGTGTGAACGTTGCTGAAGAAAATTAATGTGAGGCAACGATTGTTAATAACCTGGGTCGAGGTCCTTATATCAGTTGTCTCGATCGTCCTTGTGATCTGTCTGGATGAAGCGGGGTCACACCAATAATGCGCATTTTCCCGAATCCGACTCTTGGATCCCGCATTTCCTAAAAAAAACGAAGAAGAAAAAAAAAAAACGCGCTCGAAAGTAGAAATCGAATGCCAGTCGATTCGGGAGCTTGGTTAGTGTTACACCATTTATTGTGAGCAAGACCGAGGCTTTTATTTGGAAGTCTTTTCATTTTAAACTATGGTAATACTGTATAGAAGAAATAAAATTATACGCGGCTACAAATACCGGATTTAAAATGTAGATAAAATAAATAAAAAGCACTGCATTTCATAAATACTTTTAATGGAGCCACTAAGATCTTCATTCCATGATGAATCAATTTATTTCTGACCACATTATACAGTGAGACCCTGAGATGCAGATGTCATCTGTGCATCAAGAGTGTCCCTGAGTCAAAATGTCCCTTAGTCAAGTCATTTTCCCCTAGGTTTACTTTATATAATTTTGAATTGGTGTTTTATGTACAAAATACTCACCATGATTCCATGAAAATAAAAATTGTCTCACAATTGAAACTGATCCAATGAATATATTTCAACACATTATGGACATTTGGGGAACTGAATACCTATGTATACAGTACATAAAAATGTTGGGATTTTCTGTAAAAAATAACATTCAAGTTAGAAAGAGAGAAGGCAGTCCCTCTATGCTGGAGCCTGGAGGTAATTTTTCAAATGAGCTAAATGGATGGTAAATTGGTGAGAGAAATGCCAAAGAACTTTTCTTACATCAATTTTAGGGTAGGAAATATCTGTTTCTCGTAATTTGGCCTGAAATGTAGTTGCAATTTTATCACAAAATGCCCCTATGTGAAGTCAGTATCCTCATGTTGGGTTGTTTTATTAATTTTTTATGGGGAAATAAGTGTCCCTATGTTGAATTGTCTGCAGGTGAAGGTGTCCGCATGTGGGGGTCTCACTGTATGCACTTAACCCTTTGCTGGTGGCAGTGCTGGGATATTTTTTCAGGAATTCCTCATGAAACAAAAAAAAAAATCTGCCACTGGAAAATACAGCCCAAGTTGTGAAATATCCGTGTATTTTTTTTTATCTGCGCAAAAAAGTTTTGGGAGTGCCAAAAAACTCTTCCAAGGCAGTTTTTTTCAACCTTCAGCCATACCATCGACTGGGACGTGGTTTCTTCTGGACTTCGCTAATTTTCCTATCGTTGTTCATCCAAATATTTTCTTCTTCAGGCCATTTTGCCCTGATGGTGCTGTTTTGGTGACCTTTGGTCAAGCAAAAATGCACTATATAGTCTGCGAAAAAATCTCCAACATGTTAATCCAGCTAATCTGGGAATGAAAAAAACAGTACAGATTTTGTAAAATTTCGAAGTCTTACATTTCTGCCGGAAGAGAAAAAATATTGGAATTTTCCACACTCAAGCCTGGGTTCAAAATTGGTTTTTTTCTTATTTATTCGTCTTCAGTGCTTATTTGAACAGAATTTTGCAAAAACTTCCAAACTTCGCCGTTAATGGCCTCAGGAATATTTCAAATCAAGAGCTAATTATTTTTCTACTGCGGTCTAACAAGTTGGTTCATACATTTCTCATGTGCCCGCGGACGAAATCAAAACGAAGAGATAATCAGATAATCGAGAACAATAAAAGCAAAGGACACTGGGAAAAACAGCGTCTCAATATCACCCATGATCATGTTTCGCGCCCTTTCGACCGAAACGAAATAACAAATTTGTGTAAAAGTTCAATTACGTCGTATGTGAGATAAATACGCAGAAATCAAACTGCTGCGCACATTTTCCATCCTGTAAGTTTTTTTCTTATTTTTTCCCTTCCGTAGTGGTTATTGAAACGTTATCCTTGATTTCCGGTTGCCGGCAAACATGAATGGTGCAAACGGTCCTTGGAGATTCAGATGAGAGGCTCGGTTCAAGCACGCAATCAAAGTCAATAACAGCCATCTGACCGTAAATCGGAATTGTTTTTCCTGGTACAATTAACGGCTGTATAGCATTGAGCATACGTTTTCTGATGGAAAATATTTCCATTTGCGACATCTAAGCAGCGCAACTTATTATTCCCAACTAGCTTTTCAAGTTTTCGCGATTATTATTATTATTATTACTTTAATGTCAGGAATATTCCTCGAATGATGAACGCAAATAGGGTATTCCCGTTATTGCCGGGGATTTTCCTGGTTATTTGATGGAAAATTACAAAGCTACAGAGTACAATACTTCACCATTTTGAAAAAAATCGTCAGTGGAAATTGTGAGATTGACTCGTCTGTTTGGAAGTGAATTCGTTCAATATCCAAAATCATCATCCTAGCACCAAAAATAATCCTAGTAATTTTCGAATCATTCATTCAATTTTCTGCAAGATCGTTTTCCCTCATAAAGTTGACTTGAAAAACCCAGCGAAGGGTTTTCCTTCCCTCCCGCACATCATCGGGAATTCCTGGATTAATTTTTTCCTTGCCAGGAAATACAATTCGAGAATTTTGTTAGATCATCATACCAGACAATGAGAAGAAGTATAAACAGGTGAATGTGTTATTTTTTCTAAGATCAGTCCTCTCTGTATACCTTGAGTTTGGAAATGTTCAAATTATTTTTTAATATGTTTGTGTTGCTATCAATTTCCAGTGGTGAATAAAAATTCGAGGTCGCAAAGGAATATGGCTGAAAACTGAGCTATTGTCAATCAACTTCAGAACAAGATTGGAAATGAATCCTATCATATGCTATATTCTTCTACTTTCCAATTTTGCCTATTTTTATCCTCAATATAGCACACATTCAAGTGAGAAAGAAAAAAATATCCCCATGAAAAAGATTCAAACACTGTATAAAGCTGGTGGACTTTCTCGAAATTCAGGGGACAAGCAGAAAATACTTTTGGTGAAGAGAATTTCATTGTAGAGAACAAGTAGGCAAATGAAAATTATTTGTAATTTGATTTTCTCATACACATTTTCATATTGAGTGTCAGTTTTCTGCACAAATCCATGTTTGCAAATTTAGTCAGCCGTTTCAAGGAAAACAGTAATTTTTCATTTCAATCCATTTTTACTAAATTTAATCTCTCAAAGAAAGAGAACCAAACAGCAATTTGGCTTTAAAACCAAGTAATAAAAAGACAAGTTTTGGTAATTTGCCAAAACTTATCCTTGGAAGCTGTTGCAAATTTTCTGAGTCACTTCTGCAGAACCAAGCATATCAAATTTAATCACCAGCCTCCAGCTGACAGAAAGTAATTTTTCATGTCCCACTATTCCTAAAAACGAACCTAATCCTCAAAGAGAACACGCCAAACAGCGCCTTTAGAAATTTAAGCAATAAACAGAGACAAGTTTTGGCAATTGCCAAAACTTGTCCTTGGGTCCTTCCATGGGAATCAGGTTTTGCGCCCGTTCTCACAAGAACCAAAAATGGACCTTTAGTCCTTAAAATCTTAAAAAGTCCAAAAACCTGTAACTGTATCCTTATTGACAGAAGCTGTAATCTAAACTAAAAATCACAGTGGAAAAATTCCACAAGAACCCTTTGCCTGAGGAAAAGTCTTAGGGTTTTTCATCACTATCCCTTGAACCATCGTACTGTGCGGAACAAAAAGTACTTGGCAAATTTGTTCAGAAAACTGTTTGACAAAACTTGTGATTGTGAATACAACATTTTAAAATAGGGTGTTCTTGAGGACCCCGGTTGTAGCCCAACCAATTCTTGTGTTATACTTTAATTCTTCCTTCTGTAAAATATTTCTACCTACAAACCTCCATGACAAAATTGGTAGCAGAGTGTGGTTTCATGTCTCTTAAAAGGATTCATTTTAAGTTTTCTTCTATACCAAATCAATCAAAGTGTTGAAATCCTAAAAACAAGTGAACTACATTCTGAATCAAGTGTAACATTGTTAGAGTGAAAAGTGAAACAAAATTCAGAGAATCAATGAAGGAAACGGTGAAAACCCCTGAAAGGGGGGGCAATTTCTATTTTTCAAATCTATCATCATGGCTAGAGGTAGACCTAAAGGCTCCATAGGAGTGAAAACAAGCCTAAATAGAGTTATGGCAAGTTGAATCCAAGCAAGAAATCAAACTCCAGTCCTCAGGACTCCAGAGACCGTAATCAGAACCTCCCGTAGGTCTTCTCTCTCATCCACTCAAGAAATTGCATCTCTCATAACCCCAAGAGGGGCTTCAACCCCTAAATTAATCTTACTTGCCTGAGCAATCAGAAAAAGTGACATTGCCGTTAGAAATACCAACTCAGAAAAGAAATCTACACTATTTGATGAAATACAAACACAATTCATTGAATTCTTAACTCTGTATAATTCTCTCAAAACAGAATTCTTTAATGAAGACAAACTGGTTCAATGAACAATCTTAAGGCAAGAAATCAAATATTTAGCAACTCTAGATCAGGATTCAATCAAGTCAGAATGGAGCTCCCGGCGTCCCAGTCAATCCAAAGGATTAACCTTAACTTTCCCTAACCCAATCACCACAATCATCAGCTCAAACATAGGGCAACAACCTCTCACCAAAACTCACTCGACTGAAACCACTCAAATATTAATTGTTAACAATTCCTCCCCGGAACATCAAATTCAACTCAAAGTGCAGAATCAATGGATATCAAAACCAAGAGCAGAACTTCTGACCAAAATACAACCCCTCCAACTAACATTGCTGGAGGACGCACATCATCCTTGTTTGAACTAGAAGAAAGCTTTTACAATAATCAAATTAAACAATATGGAAAAGGAAAATCCATCCTATCACTATCACTATGGTGGATAACCTGACCTAACCTAACTTTACCTAACCACCTCCCAAAATCAGTTTCAGCAGAAACCAAAAGAAAGCAGAAATTGATTTTGGGAGTTTCAGCAGAAACCCAAAGAAAGCAGAAACTGATTTTAAAATCAGTTTCAGCAGAAACCAAAAGAAAGCAGAAACTGATTTTGGGAGTTTCAGCAGAAACCGAAAGAAAGCAGAAACTGATTTTGGGAGGCAGTTAGGTGAAGTTAGGTTAGGTCAGGTTAAATTGGTCAGAGGGAAGGTACAGAGATAACAGGAAAGTACCCAAATTTCATAAATTCCTTTTGAATCATAAGACTTGCTTACACTGCATATGGTATACAGATGCAAAAATGGCATTCAATAACATAAATCAACTTTGGATCAAAGTTTCTCTGATTATTTTCAAACCCAGCAGGTTGCGTCAAATTCTTTGTGCTTGATGGACTGAATTCATGGAGTCAGATGAATATTTTTTGGGCGGTTATTATGAAAGAACGGACTGAATGATGCTTTTGAAGTCCAAGGAAGACTTATAATTTACAAAGGGAATTTTCTGAAAAGAACATCCATGTATAACAGCATCTTTTTTGCTGCTGTTGTTGTTGTTGCCTTCACCTGAATTCGGTGTCTCCTATATGATCGACGCGCACTTCCGCTTTCCGGTGATGACGGCAGCATATTTTTCTTCCTCTTTCTGAAATGCACCAATGAAAAGAACGACCGAAAAGAAAAAAAAGAAAAAGAAAAATGCATGAGAAGCTTCGCTCACTGATGGTGTGGGATATAAAGCTGATACGAACTTCCCATTTTCTCACAGGTCGCGTTCGTCGCGTTGTTTTCCCGCCGATGGAACTGAAGGCTCGAACGGTGCCGATGACCGTGATGAGTGATGATGATCAGCATTCAGACAAGATTTCATTCAAAGACAAGTGCAAACTGTGTTTTTGGCAAAATTACAAGACGTGGATCATCGTGTTGACGCCGGTTTTACTCTCACCATTGCTGTTTCATCCGACGAGCGACAAGGTGCGCAATTTTTTTCTTTCTCTCATCGTCAGTGTTTGCTAATGAAAAAAAAAATGGCTCTCTGAAAATATCCTGAAGAGATTTTCGTTATCTATTTGCTTTTGTCGGAAAGTTTATCAAATCCTGCCGAAGACGTGCTGGAAATGCCAGGGAGTATAATTTGCATGTTCTCTGTGTATATTTTACCAGAGATAATTTTTCAGTTTTGTTTCAGCACAGATTTTCATATCGAAGAAAAGAAGGAAAAAAACAGCTTCTCACACTTGAGGTTTCCGAAATTCCATAATTTTATTAATGTCCTGCTCTCCATAATGACCAATATTATACAGGGAAAATTTTTTTTTTCAAGTAGATAATTTAAGAAGCTCATTATTAGGCATATCCTCCATCTTGCGAATCATCTTCGAAATGTAAATATAAATTCTATCGAGTGGCTTTTAAGACTCTGACCGTGAATCTGTACTGAGAAAATGTTTGAAGAGGTTGCAAATGGTTGTTTAAAACA